CGCAGGCCGGTCCCGCAGGGGGCAGGGAAGGGGGCCGGACGGGCGGAGCGAGAGGTGAGGCGGTGTCGAAGCGCGGCGTGAGTGTGTGAGTGAGTGTGTGTGTGAGTGTGTGTGTATTTGTGTGTGTGTGTGTGCGCGCGCGCCGGGCGGGGGGCGAGGGCAGTCGCGACGCGGAGGTGGCCCTTCCTTGGCTACTTGGCTGACTCTGCAGCGCCCCGACCCCTCTTCAGCCCCCCGCCTTCAGGCTGCCGCCTTAAACTCCGTGGCTTGTGCTTTCATTTTATTTCAGACCACGTAGGGGGCTGACTGGAAGGGATGAAACAATTCAGGTTTTCTAGGGAGATTGAGCAAGAACCTTAGTGGGGGGTGGAAGTAGGGTGGTGATCGAGACTCTGCCAGAAAACAAAACAAAACAAAAAAAATCAGTTTCTAAGGACGTCGGGGGTTAGGTTCGAGCCCGTGGCTGCTCTGTTTTGTTTTGCTTTCTTGGTATATAATCCTACAGATAAAAGGGTAATGTAAATATTTGAGAAGATTGAGAAATTGCTGAAGAGTAGTAAGGGCAGGAAAAAAAAAAAAAAAAAAAAAAGCCAGTCGGAAGAAGCTGGTTATATAATGCGCGATGTGGCTAACAAGAAAGGCAAGCTATTTTTATTTTGTTTACCGTATGCTGTGCAGTAGGGACTCCTCCAAACTGGTTCTGTCCCCGAAGAGATTCTTAGCTTCCCTGTGAGATCCACAGGATACAATTAGCAAAATTAGAAGACCCTATTACACCCACAGAATAAAAACTAATGCCTTACAGTGGCTTTCTCCCTGCACATCCTGTCGTGCATGCACGGGAATGTGTGTATGCAAATAAGTTCTCCTTTGGCAATCTAGTAGTCACATCTCAATGACATTTGTGTTTTATAATGCAGGCTGTTTTTAATATTTAAACATCATCGTTATATATTGCACACAGCAGTGGGTAGTTACTTGGTTATTTTTAGGCATAGCTAGTTACTTTTTCAACAGTGTTAGCTAAGACATTTCTGTTTGGGTTTTTTAGGAGGCTGCAGTTCCTAGAAGCCCCCGTTAAGCCCACCCTTCGGTTTATTTGGTGGGTAAAGGTAGTTTGATACTCGAGCTTTTTTTGGAATGAAGCTTATGCCTGAGGAAACCACCAGAGAGAAGAGAAAATCCTGCACAGGAACTCTTGGAAAGGGATTGCACCATAACGGCTAGCGCTGTGCCATTTAATCTCCTCTGATTGCCCTCTCACTGTGCATGCATCAGTCAATATTTTAGCAGCTCCGCAAATAAATGGACTTGAATGCCATCTTCTACATAAAGCAGAGGTTGAAGGGCTCCCCTGAACCTCCTGGCTGCCTGTCAGTGGTGTAGGTTTTCGGTGCACTTACTCCAGCCCTGATCGCTCATGTAATTAGATCAGGCTGCCATGGCAACAGACAGTGTTCCTCGTCCATTCAGGTAGGTTTGTCTTGTGCCTGAACTACTCCAAGTGTTTTATGCACAGCATTTATGCTGCCCAAGCCAGACGAGAGACTCCACGATTTCAATTGCATCTTCTTTCAGTCATTTGGATGGGAGACACTGAATGAGGCTTCTAGTTACTCAACTTTTGTAAAGGAGACCAACAAGCTGTTCTTCCTAGGTGCAGTATGTAAATGCATCTCCCCAGACAGTGAAAGGAGCCTGACAATCCTGCTGGTGTTTATTGTGAACAGATCAACAAGTATTTGGTACTTGTTAGAAACCTTTCAGAGCTTACCAAAGCAACATTTCTTTTGCAGTCTGGTGCCTTTGGCCTTGCAGGCACTTAACCCTTTCAAGTGTGAAGAGCGTTCATCCTTTGGAACCTACATTGCCCATAGCGATGGCTGGATTTCTAAAGGGTTTACTCAGGGGAATAACTTATTCGGAAAATATATTCCCATTGTCACATTTTAAAACTTGACAGCCATCATAACAAAAACTGGTACTGACAGTAGGCAGACATTCTGAATGTATTCATTCTTAATTTGGATCTATTGGCTGTGATTTGAATGATCTTTGGTAGTAAGTTAAAAGGATTTTTTTTTTCCTTAGCTAAGCTAGCAACGATAGAGGCCTATAGCTAGAGGACTGATAATGCATGGTGCTTTTGCACAGTAAACATATACTTTATTTTAAGATGTAATTTAGTGAGCAGTTAGCAGTATTCTATTCTTTGCATTAGGGCACCACTGATGAAGCTGCCTAAGCAAAGAGAAATAATATTATGGTAAAAAGGAAAAAAGGAAAAGTTGCTTTAGTTGCTGAAGCTCTGTGCTGCTCAGGGAATCCAGCTAAGTGGGGCGGGGGAGTATTTTAATAACCCTGGTAGTTGAAAGAAAAGATAGTTGAGAATATGTCTTGATTTAGTTGTGACTGCCAGTCAGTTTACAATTTTATGGCCAATATAGCTAAACTGGTAAATTTTTTTCCCCCAGGGCTAGGATTGAGAGAGCTACTCAACTCTCTTCACAGGGGGTTTATGAGTTTTTACCGTTTCATGAGTTTGTGTGGTTGGTAAATTCATTGTGGCCTGGTCAGATGAAGCATTGCTGTAGTTAAAATGAGCTATTATTTCTTCCAGCTGCTTTTATAAGGTGGTAAATAGATGAGAAGCAAGGATGTCAATATTACACAATGCCTTGGAGGTCCTGAATTCTATTTTGCAACAGATCGAAAAATGCTTTACTTGCAGTAAAATGTGAACATTTATTTTTCAGTGCACAAATAAATTCATGTGAAAATAAGTATAAAAAATATACTTGGTGGGAATGGCCAAAGGCAATATTTTTCCTTGTGGATTTCGTTTTAAGAGGGTTTGATAAACGGAAGTGATACTTTGTCAAAAATGTTGCAACTAGACTTCAGGACTTCTGCATTGTCTTTTACACTTAGAGGAAGATTAAACAAAAACTCTTTAGCCATAAGATTTCATGTCAAATGCCCGTAAATTTCAACATACCTAAGTCAGTTGCCTAGGAGTCCTGGGAAGGCCAGTGCTGAGATTATTGAAATATTAGTAAACATTACTATGACTCCTATTTTTGTTGTCATTATAGAGTCCAAGGACTCCCATTTCTTTTGAATAATGTTGTGCCTTTATTGTTTTTCATTCTGAAATGTCAAGTGGATTTTACTTTTTTGCACATAACTTGAGTGACAGTTTCTGATGACTAACACTGTAACACTCATTTTGTTTCCTATTAAAAGTTAAGCAATAAACATATTTTACTAAAATTCTGAAACTCACATAAGTAGGTAAATGTGGGAGTGAATGTTAATTCTTTAAACTGTGGTTATCTAAAATAACACATAGATTAGCATCTGAAGAGCTTAAATACTTGCATCGGTAAAGTGACATAGTGCAGTAAGACAGGCTATTATTTTTAACGGAGAGATAGATTATTTGACTTTCCTTGCTCTGTATTTTCAGAGTAATTCAATAGTTTGAATGATTAGTTTCTGTGAGAGATTTAGATCTGTGCAGCTTAATTGATTCAAATAACAGATTTAGTTCCGGTCATACTTCCAAGGTTATCAGAAGCAGGCCCTCCTCCTTATTTTGTTAAAAGCACCGAAAGCAAAAAATTGTAGAAATGGTAATAGAAATAATAATTTCTGTTTTAGGACCTTACATGTAGAACTTCTAAGATAGGAATTTTTAGTCATCAATTATGTTCACATTTTATTTTCATGTAATTTAGTTTAATAAAATAATTTACTCATTCAAAAAAATTTTAAGGAGTGATATACAGTGTCAGTTTTACAGAAATTTTTAAATGTTGGCTGAAAGAGCTGTAATTAGACTGAGATTTTAAAAAATATATAAATGCTTAAAATTACAGAAGTAATAAAAAGAATGGTTTTAGACAAATCTTTACTTTTGGAAACAGTTTTTTATTTTTCTCTTTTATAGTTATATTTATGGATATTTGTCTTTATCAGTGTAGTAATATATTTTATAACATTCATAATTTGAACTTTCAGGCTAATGTACTATAAATATTTGTATTATGCATTATTATCATCCCAAATGTACCAAAACACGTTTAGAAGGAACAATTATGGACAAAAAAGCAACAAGCATTATACCTTGTTTGACATATTTCACCTAAGCAGAAATGTTTCATTGATTTTTCTGTAACTTTTAATGCATCCCATTTGTGGAGTAATGAAAATGTAATGATAATTGCCACAATGTAAGCAAAAATTGTATCCTACCTGAAAATTACTTTTCAGAAAATTCATGGTAGTGTACTCAGAATTTGAGACTTCATAGGGCAGAGGTTTCCCCGATTGTGGTGTTTTGATTTGGGCTAAGAGGAACTCTTTTTTTTTTTTTTTTTTCCATTTAGATGCCCTTTAACATGACAACTTTTGAATAAGTTAGGTAACAGAAGTTTTTCGTGACAGTTATTGTAGCTGCTAACCTATAGCATCTGTCCTACTAACGTTCAAAGAAAATATATTTTTCTGTCACTGTGTATGGCAAACTTTATTTTCTTGTGCCCTTAATTTTGGCCCCCTCTCCCACATTATCTCCTGGTATTTACTGACCATTACATCAGTTTTGGTTAGGCTGTCTTTCTTGTTAATCTTCCACTATTAATAGTATTGTATTATGTTGCTCTGCTGGATGTTAAGAATATTGAGTATTGCATTTTTGGCGTATATCATTGTATAAAATGTCCCATAGGTTATTTTCTTATATATTAATTTTGTAAGTTTTTGCAGTAAATACATGCTGCCTTGCTCGTATTCTTGCCTTCTTCCCTCTGATGGAATACAAGTTATGTAAACTCTATTATCCTAACTAGTGCAGCAACACAAATACTTTTGAAATAAGAAAGCATACTCCTGCAAGAGTAAATTAATCTTTTACGGCATTTACATCATGTTTGACCCTCCTCTGCACTTCAGCAAACTAGGAGGAGGTTGTAATTTGGACTCTATAAAAACTTATCTGCCAGGTGATATGTAAACAGGATTGTGTGCATACAAATTGTCATACAGGCGAACACTCTCCCAACTGGTGAGCTCATAAAAAGCACTGTCTGCAGATTTATGGTACCTGCACCTTGTTTGAGAATCAAGTATTTTGATGTTTAATTTGAGATGAAATCAGGATCCTCCCTCCCTGCCCCCTCACCCTTAAAAAAGTACTGAGTAAATAGAATTTTGTAAACTTCTACTTAACTTGGCCATTATTTATATTTGTAACTCAACAGGCTTCTTGCTGGAGGGACTGTGCCTTCTAAAGATTTGAAAGACATTATAGTGTATAACAGCTTACCTTCCTTCTCTGTACACACAGATCACACGTGGGGAAACCAAGGACTACAAGAATTACTTCTTTTGCATATCAGTCCCAGGCAGGCAATCGATGCTTAAATAAATGCTTGGTGAATGGATTAGTTAGAAGTAAGCATATTTTGGCTACTGTTCATTACTTTGAAAAGTGCTGGAAAGAAGTGGAAGTTATTTTCCTTTCCAGCTGGGCTGTGCTCTTAAAAATAGTGAGTGTGTATGGATGAAAATAATCATGACTACCGAGATGTGTTGCCATGTACCCAAGGATAATTGGCTCACTTACCTGTTTACGGATTATTCACATTGGAGATCATATTCATAGCTCCAGAATAGTTTCTTTCTGACATCCAATATAAACCTGGGCCGCCTCCTTCCTACTGTTACCTGGCGTGAGCTTAGGAAACGCAAACTAAATTTAAAATCAGCCTAAGCAAATGTGCAGATCAGCTCCAGTAATCAACGACTGAAAATCAGTCCAGCATTCACTAGTTTGGGGATTATATTATAGTGACCCTGCTACAGATTTAAAAAAAATTTTTTTTCTGTTTAATGTGGATAATTGGGAATCACCAGTATTTAAGAATATAATTTTAATGGATAGGGTGAAAAAATACGTTAGCAGATCAAGTCTTCAACTTCTTCCATTTCTATGCATAGGTTTTACCTCACAAAAACTACTACAAGCACCAAGCTCCCTGATGGAAAGGTATATGGAAGATTCATTCATTCATTCTTTCATTCATCCATTCACACATTCACTCATTCATCATACAATGGATAATTTTTACTTAACCATGTGCAAGGAATTGTGGCAAAATGAAAATGAGATATACATTCAGTATTTAAATAACTTAAAGTTTAGTGGAAAGTTTAGTGAATATATATGCACACTTTGCACTTTTTTCTGCATTTTATCCTTTCTTCTATTCCATTGGACTGGTATGCTGATAGCTGTGCACTTTCATGATTGTCTTTCAAGTTGCATGTTGGTAGATAATATATGCCACATTAAAATTAGGCTTTGGCTCAATTACTGTTCAATCCATGCCCATTTTCACCTGATACTCCTTGTAGTTACCAGCATGTGTTTATCAGATGATTGGCTAGAATCACTCAACCAAAGAATGACAGTGGCTGGCTCAAATGGGGAGACCATCCTCTTAATTTGATGGAAGAGATGACCTTTTTGTATGTTGGCCTCCCTCTGAGCCCTATTGAACAAAACCAGACCTGCCTTTTGAGCTGGCTGTGTTCTGTGTAATTCTCATACAACAGAATGCCAAATGTGATGTTCTTAACATTTGTATTTCGGTGCATAGACACTTAAGGTGGACTTATTTTTTAAAGCAGTTTATTCTGTTTTTCATTTTGGATTTCCTCTCCTGCACTCCCTGGATCATTGCAGGAGCATCGTGCATCAAGTCACCAGGGTGGTCCATTCAAGCTGCAGATTTATTTGTCATCCTTGTACAACAGTCTCCTCCTCCACTGCCACTACAGGGAAGTGCATCACGTGTCAGGTGAGAGTTTTGCGATGCTCTCTGTTTTCCATCTGAGGATAAATTCCTGACTTGGAAAATTGCCTCCTAGCCTTACTTTGTTGGCTGTTGAATATCATTTTCTTTGCAAGCTCTATTTGGGCATAGTGTGGGAAGTTGAGAAATTGCCAAGATTGTTTTTTAAAACTTGGATTAAAGTATCTATCTATTTGGTTTAATCTATATGGTTCATGAAGAAGTTCATTTGACTTTGTGATGATTGATAATTGCCAATTGGGGGCTTGAACCTGATCATTTTAATTGTCACTTTTCCTTAATACAATTAAGAATGCTATGCTACCAGATATCTTAAGTCACAGTTTTTACATTTTAGATTACTGTTGTAGTATAATATATGCGTAGCAAAACAGAGACCTGTTTGTTTAGGAGGAACCAGTATTTGTTGAATCTTGAATTTCTTTGTGTCTGTTTGGATTTTACAACTTCCTGATTTTCCCACGTACAGTAAATTTTTCTGGCCTGGAGAGTCATGCAGACACAGGGTGTATGCAAGGGTGATGACTCATGGTTTTCTATTGAAGAAAGGGCCAGAGGATATTGCCTCGAATTAAATCAGGAGAGAAAAAGAGGTTTGCTAGAACTTGGGGCAGTAAGGGCTTGGGAACACAAGGGTTTGGGTGTAAGTAACCAAGGGAGATTGTGAAATAAAAAACGGGATCAATTTCTATTTGCCTTGGAAACAGACCTGCTTGAAACTGTGAAGACAGACTAGATTAGAGGTTCCCAAGCCTGGCTAGGCAACAGAATCACCTGGAGAGCCTAAACAAAATAGAATCAGGGGCTCCACCCTAGACTTGCTGAATCAGAACGTTCCCTGTTGGAATCACTGATCTGTCTAGGCAGTGATTCTCCACAGGTTTGGGAACCCCTGGGTCAGCCAGTCTTCCAGCAGCTCTTCCTAAGTAAAGGGATAGACTTAGCTGGTGAGAAGCTCGTTCTACTTTTAGCAAATCTCCCATTTGAAAATTCGAATTTTCAAAACTCATTTTTCAAGAGGTGGATGGATATTTGCTTTATCAAATGTTCATTTAAACAATGATTGACCACATTTCTTTGAAGAAAGAGCTGCCTCTTTACCTTAAGAGTCAATTTTTAAGTTACATATAATTTCTCTGGCATCTTAGATAAGAGCATGGAGCTCCGTAATCAACCCATCTGGACTTAAGAGCTGGAGCTGCCACTGTGACCTTGAGTAGTCCTATGTCCTTTCAATGCCTCGGTTTATTCATGTATAAGATGGAGGTAATATTAGAACTTTCTTATAGGGCTGCTGTGAGGATGGAGTAAAATAGTAGATATACTGTGGGTAGAATAGTACCTGGTGTGTGGTTTGTATCTGTTAACAGATGCTATCAAGTAACTTATCCCTCAACAGGTTGATTGTTATGGTCATGTTTTATGATGATTGCTCCTGAATCATACATGACTAGGAATATGTAAATATACCTGGACCTTGGTCTTTGGACCCACCCTGTAGACATCTACGGCTCTGCAAAGCCAAGGAGCCTTTTATTTGTTTTTGGTTAATTTTAAATTCTGAATTTATCACAACTGTCTGACTGATGGGATACATGTGTGGTTTTTTTTTTTTTTTAGATTGTTGTAAGATGAACTGATGAATTGCATGCATAAATGGGGTTGTTTGTGGTCTGAGTAAAAATAAACAAAAACCTGAGTGACTGAAGCATTATGCCTCAGGAAAAATTGCCAAAAAAGTCCCAGTGGGGGACAAGATGGAGGAGGGAGGAGTCATCACAAACACGATATTCTTGTAAAATGTGGAACTGGTTTCCTTATATTTTATTGGCTGTGGAGTAGAGAGGTGTTATTTAAGTGGGACTGTAACCTAAAGTTCCATACAAATTATCTCTTAAGATCTACAAATGTCAGCTGAATGAAAAAGGTAAAGAGTGGGCCAGGCACAGTGGCTCACGCCACTTTGGGAGGCTGAGGTGGGTGAATCACTTGAGGTCAGGAGTTCTAGACCAGCCTGGCCAACATGGTGAAACCCTGTCTCTACTAAAAATATAAAAATTAGCCGGACATTGTGGCAGGTGCCTGTAATCCCAGCTACTTGGGACTCTGAGGCAGAAGAATCGCTTGAATTCAGGAGGCAGAGGTTGCAGTGAGCCCAGGTCGTGCCCCTGCCACTCCAGCCTGGGCAACAGAGTGAGACTCCATCTCAAAAAAAAAAAGAAAAGAAAAGAAAAGAAAAAGATAGAGTGTCTTACTGCTACTTTATCTCTTAGGGATGATACTCATTTTAACAGTTATGTGCTAGGCTGAAAATCCTCACATTTAGATCTTTGGAGAAGTAGTTTAATTGCAGGTGGGTTGAGTACATGTGCATTTTTTTTTAACCTGTGGTGTTGAAAGGGAGTCATTTGTGATAACAGAAATATCCCAAGAATTTTATTGTGGAAAAACAGGCAGCAAAAAGTCGTATCTCTTGGTCAATATGGGCAGCTTATTGAGAAGAGACCTAGGTTTTTATAGTATATTAGGAAGTTTAAGTGTCTTAAGAATACTAAAATACTGACAAAGTAGCACAGTCACCTTGAATTTTAAGCAGCTGACATTTTCTATGGTTGCATTTAAAGAAAGCTTATAAGCATTATCTAAACATTTTGCATCAATAATGGCCTCATTACAGTCTTCACGATTGACGGCTCAACGTAGACAGAAAAATAGTATCATTCACGTTGTACTCTGGTATATTCATTCAGTTTTTTTTCTTAAACCTACATTATAGTTCTTTCTGGTTCTAGTTATTTTATAAATATGATACAGCTATAGCAAGTTATGACCTAACTTGTTCACAGTCACTATTTATGTAAAGAAATGATTCATTCATTTATTCATTGTGAATTTTTTTAAAACTACTGCATGGTGCTGTGGGAATAGAAGTGAATAAGAGCTACCGGAAGGCAGTTATTTTCTTCATGGTCAGGCAGGGGAAAGAAGAAACTCTCGAAATAATGAATACAAATAGAATGGGGTTCTAACGGTGTTCTAACAGTGAAGGAATTCAGAAGAGTGATGCTGTGTAGGAGTGATCAGGAAAGACTTTGAGGAGGAGGGATCACTTGAGTTGAGCTCTGCCGTCTAGATTGCATTCCTGTGGGAAGAGATGGATGGAGCATGAGGAAGGCCATGTGTGTGTCTGGGACATAACAAGCCAGTGCACGGTATGTAACTGACCAGGATGTTCTGGCTGAAGCCTAGGTGCTGGTGGACATCTGAGTTTCTGGATTCAAGCAGACAGTAGAGACTGTGGGAATAAAACCACTGAGACATCGAGTCTGAAGATAAATTTGGAGGAGTCCTTGACATAAAAGTGATCTTTGAAATTAGGCCTTGGATTCTTAGGCCTGGCAAAAAGTTTGACACACAGGAGGGGGATGATTGAATTCAGGGATGACGTCAGCTGGTGTAGAATGTGTAGAGAGAAGGTAAGAGGCAGCGGAGAGTAGCTTGAACATTGATGTGGCACGGCCTTCATCTGCCTTCTTTTCATGATCTGGGGTGAAGGAGGCTGGGTGGCTGGAGGAGTTAGGTGATGTATGCGTGGGCCATAAGGACTCTTCTGCAGAAGCTCAGGCACCTCGGAAACTCAGTGCTGAACTACAGCTCAATGAAATCTTGTCAAAACCTTTCTTCCTTTAAGACCTTTACAAAAATAGGAACTTGAGCTAATTTTAGCTAAATCTAATGTGTGTGTGTATAAAAATGAATGCCACGTTTGAAATTCAGCGTATGCGGTATTTCTTTAGACAAGTGATCCTTCTGTTTTCCTCTAAACAGTTTTATTAAGATTTTCAGTGAAGCCCTGTACATATTAACAAGAATTCCAGCATTTCTTTGATCTTTTCTACTGTTGATTTATTCATCTCATGTGATATGCGTAAATCACAATGTGCCATCTACTTGACTCTGTAGCAATTGTTCATTTGTGGCAATTCATTTACTGTACTCTGATAAACCACATTAATGTGGGTGTGTTTGGTAACTTCAGAGGATTCCCTGGAGGCTTTCTGTGGACTCTTTAAATGTGAGATGTGTGTGTTTGTGTGCGCGTGTGTATACTGTATATACCTAGTTACTAGACACAGCCCTTTGAACAATTTGGCTTCCCATTTATACTTTATAGAAAATAAAGAGATGTAGAAGTGGTGAATCTTGGCTCTGGGGAGAAAGTTAGTCTAAGACTTCATGATGTAAAGTGAAAGAGAAGGCTGGAAATGATGTTACGATGTTCTCAGTGAGCAGTCTGTTTTAATGTAATGAGAGAAAATTTGAGGATTAAGTGTTTTTTTTTTTGGTCCTGAGTTAGTTAGGATGGGCTCTCTGTATAGCCCAAAGGACTCAGAATAAAAGCAGTGACTTATTTAACTTTCACCAAAGACAAGAAGGTTAAGACAGGAACAAGAGGGATGGAGCAAACAACTCCAGGGGCAGATCGTTCTGTCTGCAATTGTTTAATGAGCATCTAATGTATGAGAGGCATTATGCCAACAAGGCATTCTAGGGAATATGGAGATGATCAATAGTTCACATTTACTATTCTGCATATTAACTTATTGAATCCTCATTACAATTCTTCAAGGTAGGCATCATTATTTTCTCCATTGCACAGGCGAAGAAACTGTGGCACAGAGAGGGTGAATAATTTCCCCAGGGTTGCCCAGCTGTTAAGTGATAGAATCATGCTTGGATTCCAGTCTGCACTCTCAGCCCTGTTCCTTAAGCCCTGTCCTTAAGAAGCTTACAGTCGAGTGCATAAGGCAAGGCATGGCTTGGAGTAATATTTAAAGAGTCATGACACAGGTACAACACAGTCTAGGAAATCAGGATCAAGGAAGGGTCCTTCCTCGGAGCCTTCTCTTTTGATGCCTGCCTGTCTGTTCAGTCACATATGAGCTTTCTGACACAGGCTGTCCTATGCAGGCTTTGTGGTGTTT